TGGAGACTCCTAAGGGTAGCCAGGTCCTTCTCCACCTGATCTTACTAAAGAAATGGAGGACTTCCTTTTCCTCTGCTTGCCCCAGCAGGTATTGCGTCGAATACACTCAGGACTGGCGTGTTTTCATTAATTCGGATAACATAACCTAGCCAGCGTAGCTAACTTAAGAAAGAGGAAAGAGTATATTTTCCGTCGTTGTCAAAGTAACCAGGAAATCTTTTTGGCTTTCTAAGATTTTGTAGCTTATTTCCGTTTGCGCGTTAGAAAAAAACATTTTTTGTGATTTTCTTTGAAGAAGTATTTTATTACATAAATATAAGAAAAAATGCACATTTTCAGAATATAATGTAGTCAGCGATTACTTTTTGAAAACTTCTGTTTCACTTGTTCTCGTATTCGATTTTATGGAGAACCTCTGAGAAAAGTGGTCTGGCGGTGAGCAAGTTTTGTCTGCTTAAAATTATCTAAAATGCAAAAACCGAATAAAAAATTATTATGGTACAATAGCTGAATATATGTAGGTAATGATCGAAGAACTAGCCAAAGTTTGCACTTTGCGACTTATCAAAAAAAAAGGCTTTTTTTTTTTGTGAAAAAATTAGCTTTTAGACTTGATTTGTAAAATCGAATGATTTATGCTAGCTTATTTCAACAACTATTGTATTCATTAGATTCTTAAAAGTACGCTCTTATCTCTGAAACTATTTGCCGGTTCAACCTGAAATTTGCGGAGCTTATTCACAAATACTGTATTTATATGTATCTACCTGCACAAAAATATTATTTTCAAATTCACAAGTGGATATTAACCTCTAAAGCTAAGGTTATCATAAGATTCATTGCCTGTTTCTTGATGTCTTAAGTATAAAAGATTCACCAAGTTTTGAAGTAATTTCCAACTTCTCTCAAGCACAAAAGCTTAGATTTGGGTAAGAGGTCGACCCTAACAGGAATCTGTCTTGGACAGCTTAAAATGCCTGTTTGTTGTTTTTTTATGATATAAAAGCTTACTTAAGGAAGTCATCCCATGTTACGGCCCTTTTTTTAAGACTTCTTTAATACATTTCATATTAAAGGCCTGCTAAACGTTATTTCCAACAAGGTCTCTATACATGCCCACTTTTATATACATATGTCTAAATGACCCATCACAAGCGGTTGTTGCATTTATTGCAGCTAATTAGTTACTTCCTCTCCATTTATCTCTTTGTTTATTTACTCCACTTATTTGTTAGTTTTTATATTTGTGCTTTAGACAAAGCTAAGGAAGTTTGCTATTAAAAATAAATATGCACGGATCTTGGCAAAGGCAGTTAAAGCAGTTCTTTCTGTAAATTAGATACACAACTTACTGAATCATGTTGCATGCTTTACAACGTTCCGACAATCTACCTCGTCTTCGAAGTTCAAAGCCGTGTTAGGGAATTCAGCAGTCAGAATTACCGAATGCATTATGTATTGTTTACGGCTTATGCATAAAAGCAATTGCTATAATTCGTTTCCATGGCAAGATTACTTTTTACCTGTTCCCAGAGACCATGAATATCGACTTGAGAGTGTACTTATCACCTACTCAAATATGACCCGAACTGACAAAACTAAAATAGTTAATACAAATCTCCATTATCGCCTCCAAAAGAGGCTTTGGAGCCAAAAAAAAATGCCAATATTTAATCTAAGTTTCCATACACTGTTATAAGCTTCTTTTCGGATGCAGTGCCCAGAGTGCCTTCAGAAAATGACTTTATGACGCGTTCTCCAAAGCGGATTTTTCAGTTGCGAAAACAGTAAAAAAAGACAAAATAGAGCTTAAGATCCGAAGCGAAGTGTCCTGTTTCGAAAATAGAAAAAATGCACAGGGAGACTAATATGGCGAGTACGTTGGCTAAGCGATGACTCTCATTTCTTGTTCATCCAAAAATCAGTCGCAATCATGCCGTGACGGCATATTATCGTCGAATTACTTCAAATAAGCTTCACAAAACGTTCAAGCAGTATGATTTATTGACTGTTTAACCTTGTGGAAGGAAATGGTGCTGAACTACATCATACATTTGATACCTAGCAATGACCCGCTTCGCACCCAAAACATTAACCACAATGTGTTGAGTTCCGCATACGAGATATTAAGCTCCTCTGCTATCTCCCTAACGCCAAGACGACGTCTTTCAAGCGCTGTCTCTTTAATTTTTTCGATGTGATCATCATTAACGGAGAGGAAGATGGACGGTTCGCACGAGGCAAACAATGACTTCATGTTATATACTGAATTGGTTTGTGTGACTCAAATACTCGTGATCGTGATACAGTACCAAGTTCCTTACATCATACATATCAAAAGTCATGCTTTGCAACCTTTTTATTCTAGATCTACCGACCTTAATCCTTTCAGGGTTATAAAAACTCCCATAGCAGTAACCTGTTAAAGCCCTTGTTCCTTGTGGTTTTCTAAAAATTAATTGAAACATATTGTTTACAGTTGATTGAAATCAATGTTCTATTAAGAAAAAATTACGTTAATTTGAAGCAACAGAGCGACTTAGTTCATTTCTTAGTAATAAAGATCCAACGCGAATTAAAAATAAGTAACAAATATTTTCATAGTCACGCGATGATGACTGGCTACATGACCACTACACCCCAATTAGCATAAATAATAAAAACATACTGCTGCTCGACCAAAACCCCGCCTACATACCATAATCGCAGAACTCACGCGAAGCTGATGAACGATAATAACAATTTCTTATCAGACACGCGGACTCTCACCAGGAATGGCCAAGGTCCCGCCAGGTAATTACAGCCTATTGTGGAATAACTGTGCCCAGCGGAAGAAGGAGCGACAAGCAATTGAAATTGATGAGAAAATTTTATGACAGCAGTTAACAAAATATCAGGACAGCGCGACTTGGCGGCGCTCGAACAGTGCTTATCTCCCTTCCGTTGGCATTTTAAGTGAAAGTGTATAAATAAATAATTAAGGAAGGAGGAGTTGCTACAAGTGGTACATGCGGTGAGGTATTAAATAATTGACTAGAATCAATGTGCGGTAATTTAGTAGGTTTGAAATGTGCACACACATTCAAAATAATGAAGCAAATACGTACACTGACTGCTATGGACATGAGTTAGGGTGTAGAAATTGCTTTATTAGTAAACTTGCCTATTTATATATATCGAATTTTCATTGCCCACACTACCATAAATGCGTAGGCTGGACATGTTTACAGTGTTGTGCAACAAAGTATTGCAAAAACGTATTTAAGAGTAAAAACCAAAAATACACATATTTATATTTTTAAGCAAAGCTCCATTTTATTATTTTAATTAAAATTTTTTGTGGTAGCATTTGTTAATCGCTCATTAGCGATCCTATTATTGGTGATAACCTCTTCGATGTTGCGAATTTTCTTTCCAACGAGCATTCTTCTTAGGTTCGTCGCCAGGATCGAAATTATTATTCAAAATGTTAATCCCTCAATAATTACCTGACAAATATAGTAAGTCCTAAAGGATCATGGAAAAATTCGTTGGACTCGTTTTAGAGAAACCATTCTTACTGACCCTAAAAACAGCGCTTCGTTTAAAGTTCTGGGAGCGATTAAACAAAGTAAAAAAAAAAATTCCTACATAGATGCTCATATCTCCTGAACTATTTGTCGAATCAATATTCTCAAATAAGGGGTTTTTCAAAAAGAGCGGCAAAAGTAAAAACGGTTTGGGATATAAATGAAATTCTTTATTCCTGTGAAAGTACATTTGATGCCATTATAAAGGAACTCGATTTCTTTTACGTTTACAAACGTCCAGACGCTGAAACCAATTTTCGACCGTTTTCCAGCATAAATCGGCCGATACTGATAGGAAGCCATCAATCATCGCTGGCTTGTTGGCATAGACCATAGAATTAACGTAGCCCTGCAGAAAATAGTCTAACGGCGTCCAATAGCACGACCGTTACGGCTGATTGACTAGGCCATTTCGTAAGATAACACGTTCACCAAACTTGGTTTTCAATAAATCGCTTGTGACATTCACTGTGGCTGTGGGTGTTGTTGGAACCACATATTGCCCAAGTCCATATCACCCAATTCGGGCTAAAAATATTCGGTTATTATTGAGTGGTAGCGATTCCCAATCACAGTAACTTGCAGGGTCATCAGTAAGAAACACTTCCCAATGACGCCGCCGACGCTTAAACCGTACCAAACCGTAATTTTTTCAGGATGCAATGGTGACACATGGAGCACGTGTGGCTTGCTGCCTGACCAGTAAGCATATTTAGCTTATTGACGAAGCCATTCAGCCAGAAAAGAGCCTCATCGCTGAAAATGATTTTTCGATGAAAATCGGATAGTTTTCAAGTTGTTGCTCAGCCCAATTCACGAACATATGACGATTCTGGTGACCAAGTGGCTTCACTTCTTGCGTCAATTTGATCGTGTAGTGATGTTGGCCAAGATCTTCACAAAATTCGTCACAATGATGTCACAGAGATGACGATTATGACGAACATAAATTGGACGTAGCGCTCTTAAAGTTGAGGCCACTGGCTCCGAATATCGGTTCGGTATTGAAAACTCCTATATGTACTTTGACTATGCATATATGCAAAAATTCAAATCAAAAATCAATTTTGAGCTTGATCTTGTTGACAGAGTTCAGTTGCATATGTTTTGCCCAAAACTGTATATGAATACATAGGGTACATATGTATGGGAATAGCCCAGTTGTGTTCATTGCGCAATTATTCAACAAATGTTCGTTGATTATCAGTGTCAACACCTGGAAAATCAATTTTTATGGCGGAAACTGAATTTAGAAATATTATTCCCCTCTTTATATTTGAATCGAACAGGTGACAACATAACTATAATGAACAAGTTGAGTGAAACACATTTGCTGACAGTTGTACAAATATTTAATTAAATTATTTGCGTGTGGTAACCAAATTATATAATTTCTTTTTTAATTCAAAAATATATATGATCCTTATTATTTACTTTTTTTACTTTAAAATATATTATAGAAATCGGATACATAGCTACATAATATTTTTTATACATTTGTTAATTAATTCATTGCGTTGAGTAAGTCGGATTTTTAAAGCTTGACGTCGCTTGTTTATACAATGGGTTGCCATTATAAAATGATAAATTAAAATCGAGTCAAAATGTATATTAAATGACAATTAAAAAGAAAAAATTTAATATAGTGAACTAACAGTGATTTTAAGAATTTTGATATCGATATCAATATTAAAATTGATATTGATATAGAGTACAAATCGGTACTACTATCAATGTCAGTATCAATCGAAACCAAAATCGACATAAAACATCTCAATATCAATATCAATTTAATATACCTACGTCAATACCAATATCATTGATAATATCTTTCTCAACATGAAAAAACTCAGTAATTTTCTCTATTGCTTCTTACCGCATTCCATTGTGCCTTCATTTGTTCCTTCTCAAATCGTCGAAACTCTCGATTATCCTGTATGGTCGTAATAAGTTTCCATAAAAGCAGCGTTGCCAAGCCAATGAACAAAATAGAGCCTGCCACACTGAATAAAATCTTGAGCATGGCAACCTTTGCCAAACACTCACGCTCCTTTTGTGCTTGCACTTCGTAAATGCCATTATTTTCTTTAAACGTAAATGCATATTTACAATTATCATCATCGTAAAATTCACAATTCTTTTCGCCCAGAACTAATTCCGATTTCTCCAGTACTTTATCCACTGGAGTCGTTTTCACTTTCGTACAGTTGGCAGCACAATCTTTAATATCCTTGAATTTACCCCTATTATACATTTGACATTGTACGCAATCTTTCAATTCCAAACAGAAACTTGAACATGTCGGGCACGTTTCACAGTATTGTCCAGAGTAACGACCTTGTGCGGTGGCTTGACATCTGGAAATATCGTAAATACGTACATATAGGCTTAGTTCTACAACTAAATTATAATAATGTTTACTTGCAAGCGTTGCATTCGCAAGTTCCTTTGCCCGAGCATAGTTTATCATCGCCCTCTTTCCGACACTTATCAGTTGATACCGAACATTCGCAAGCTTTTCCCTGCCAGCCTTCATTACAAGTACATTGTCCGCATTCGCATTTCCCATGGCCGGGACCGGAGCAAAGCCGCTGTTCATGTCGCTCACAAGAGAAATTGTCACACTGACAGTATTTACCCGATATGACCTCTTCTTCATTGCTACGCTTGTCACATTGACATTGGCCACACGAGCAAATGCCACGTCCACTACAATCGATTATTGTTGTGTTGTCATGACAATTGTGGCTGCTGTCAGAGCTCTCTTGCATATCAGTATTCGAACACTGACACTGGGCGCCTACAAACTGATCCTCACACTGACAAACGCCACATACCAGATTGCCTTGTGAGGAGCAATGTTGACTTTTGGTTTTCACTTCGGCATCACATTCGCAACCGCAAAGCATTTTCAGATCAATGATCAAACTCTCATTTATACCGACCGGATAGATTTGTATTATTTGCCGCCAATCGTGTGGATCTTTTGGACAGGAAGCCAAACGGATATTTATGCTAAATGTTACCTCATCACCGACGTGTAAGCCATCACATTTTGAAGTTAGTACTTCGGGGCCAGCACTGCGACAAGCGGAGTAGTATGTGATCTTTACATCACTAGTGGCATTGTCACGCATTTGAATGGAGGATGAAATTTGCTAACAAAAAACAAAAACATTGCAAATCTGGTTAAAAATATTCTCATAATAGTATTCATGACTCATCAATATTCACGTCATGGTATATGGTAATGAAAATAGCTCACCTGATATTGTTCGCGTATAAGGTTTACCACATTCATTGAATTTCCTTCCAAGTTGGCGTATGATGATCCATTAATATTTGCCGACAGCGTTTTATATATACCCAGCACATTATGTGTTACAGCAAATATGACATTAATCGCATTCTCTTCGATAGTGTGTTTTACTTGTCCAATACTTGGATAGTCCAATTGTTCTGCATGCGTATAATAGCCGTCTTTGTCCAAGTGGCATTTGCCATCATTTGGTTGAATCAAACCGGCTAGCTGAAAAAAATAATAAGCAAATTAAAATACTAATACCCATATTATGTAATACAACTGCTGGTGAAGACTATATCAGCCAGGATCCATTATTCCATAGTTTTTGTAACACTGCCCAATACATTATGCCAAAAAAAAAAAAAAACTCGGTAATTGTAAATAAAACGAAAAATATTGAATTTTTTATCAATATTTATTTCATTACCTTCAAGACAATCCCCACCAGAAATATACACTTATGCCAATGATTTTCCCAGTCCTCGAAACAATTTTCATAAGCACTTTTTCGTCTGGCCTTCAGCTCATTTGTTTTAATTTTATTTTATCTCTTCGATCAACTGAAATGGCTCCCACGTTCACGGGCAACTGCAATTGGTTTGTGGAAGAAGAAAAACACATACGGAGCCAAATTTGGTGAATACCGTGTGATGGTATTCATTACGTTTTTGGCTTTAAATTCGGCCACAATCGTACTATTTTTTGAAAAAAATTCTGCTTTATCGGGTTGAGTCGACCAAGAACGCGTTTCATACTCAAAGTATCCCCCAAAATAACTCGAACGGACTCGCGAGAGCTGTCGAGCTCTCTTGCCATCTCTCTAATACTTGCCTGACGTTTTTTGAGCATCACTTTTTTTTAATATTTTCATCAGTTGAAGTGGTCGAATTTCGTCGAGACGACGTGTCTCATCATCGATCATCGATCTCTTGACCGCCATTGAAGTATTTGCACCACTCATTGGCTTGTGTTTTTAATGAAACTGTAACACCTTTTCCAACATTCGCAAGATATTCACACTCGTAATTTGGTTATAAATACAAATTTTTAGATAAATTCCTTATTCGATATTTTTATCCATTGTAAAAATCGCAAAGCACTACTGAGTAGTACCGACTTAAGCAGCTGCTGTAAACAAACTGGTTGCCAGAACGCGCTCATATTTGGCATAGTAATTAAGAACAGTCCTACTAACATACATTTTATTTTAAAATTGAATTGAGTAACAATTTCGCGGTGCTTTTTTTGTCTCAATGTATGTACCAGGTGGCTAATATACTAGCGTCAGTAGCCATATATAACAGGAATATAAATATGATTTAAGGCATAATGTCAACTAAGTTTATACTCACCTTACCATCACCCGCTATGTGAAAATTTGCATCAGTTGAGAAAACTAGTAGATGTCGCGCTTTTTCACGCCAACCGATCTCTTTGCGACACACGATTGCCTGCATCATAGCTTCCAAGCCACCTTCGGGGGAATCATAATTACCCGCAATTTTTGCGTTCTTCACATTAGACTAGCGTAAGGAAAAATAAAAAAATTAAACTAATTCATTATGAATGGATTTTTCCACAAAACTACAGAACTCACTGAAAATTCATTCTTGGTATCCGTGTCCAGCGGCATAATATTATGATAACTAAGACAGTTGTTATGTGCATGGCACTTGTATTTTGTTCCCCGAGGAAATAAATCAGTCGTGTTCCTTTATAATTAATTATATTAATAAGTATTTAACTTGGAATGCTATGTGTACTAACCTTTGATTGAGATTGTCGGTGAAAGGCATTATAACTTTGTCGGTAAACGAACCAAAGCCCAAGTGGAAATCGCTGGTTAAATTGCGCATCGTCTCTGCCAAAGTACTACCCAATTTAGAGAGGTTGTCCCTATCATCTGTCATTGATTCAGATAAGTCCATAAGATAGTACAAATCGACAGGATAATCGAGCGCACGCGCATATTTCACTTTTATTAATTCCACTTCATCTGGAAAAAATGTCAATTATTGAAGTTGTATTATGTACGTATGTCTTCCATTTATGCAAACGTTATTATATTAGCTAAAACTGATACTACTTTTAAACTCGTATATTGTTGAACAAAAAAATCGCTTGGCAGCAGAATTTTGTCGAAATTTTCGTATTCACTTTATCCATTTTCATACTTTACATTTGATCAAATTTGTAGCGAGCTGTTATTATTAGTGTCTTCATATATATTCCTTTTCACAAAATACAATCATTCCAACTATTAATCCTATTTTTAATACCTCGTCCTTAATTGCCTTCGAGTTTCGGTTTTTTTTACATTCGCTAGATAATTGGACAGTTTCAACATTATATTCATAAATCCAGGTTTCATTTGCAGTAGTGATACGTTCTCAGCTATATTGTCATACTTCTCTTTTGCGGCCTGTATTGAACGTCGGTTTTGCAAAAGGTTCAGGTCTTTTAGTGCGAGTCCGCTTCAAACCCAAATCATTAACTCAAATATGTTGAGTTGATTCATCTTTTTACCGATTTAGTTTGCGCGTGCGGTTTAAAATGACTAGTCAAATTTGATCAAAGCATCTCTTCCTATTCGTGGCGATATTATTTGGCAAATTCAGCGATGTTCCTTTTCAAAACAGAGAATATCTCAAATACGGTTTTTGATGTGATAAAAGGTTAATGTAAGGATTGTAATTGTGAACTTGAAGCAGAAAGGAGGCCTGTAATTCAACGAGCTCTAGTAATAATAAGTAGACGGTTCTATTGGAACGGATGTCCAGAACTGTATTGAAAACTATTTATGGAATGCTTTAAGGCGATATAACACCAGGAATATTGAGAAAAACGCTGTTGAAAATACACGATTGCGAAGAGCTTGAAATAGTGGCTGAAGAGTTTTCTTGAAATGATGGCTGAAGAGAAATTCTGCTAGATGGTATTTGCGATGTGATTTACTTTAATGATGAAAAAGGAGCTCTTATAACCTACGTGCTCTGAATGGAGTCAGGCTATAACATTACACCATTAGTTAAATTCGGAAATGTCAAGAAAACTGCGGGTATTGATGGATGGCCCGCGGAAGTAACTAAATACAGCAGCAAAGGGCTGATACGGTTCTTTAATCAATTCAGATGTTTAGATGTGCTCCATCTTATAATCGAGTAGACGCACAGAGGAATGGACAAATTAATCAAATATTTAAAGATACCAGTAATAATTTAGGAGGCATAAGAGATAGTCTCTCACTTTCTCTCCTTGCTACTCTCTCTCTATCTTTCTCCAACTCTCTCTCAATCTCTTAAAACTGAACGAAGTTTCGGTTAGCCCGAATGTTATATTTGAAGTGGCAGAACTAATCCATTCTTATTGTATTTCTTGAACAAACAACTTCTGTCAATTCACAATTACGTCATCGAATGAAACCTAACCAATGTAAACCGTGCAATTCTTCTCTCAATACATGTTTCTTCCAAATAAGTAGATAACGAATAAAATAAATATTTTATGTGTGCATCCTTTATACATATATATGTATGATAGAGGAGTGACCGGTGGCAATTTGCAAAACAACAACTCTAATCGTGAATAATTCGGATATCAGCATCCTGGATGCTGCGGGGGCTGACAATTGATTCATTTTTAGCAATCATGAATTCTTTTAAACCCGACCTGTGGCAATGAATGAAAGATGATTCCATAATTTCATGGGAACTACCATAAGCTGCTGTCAAAGGAAGATGGTGTGCCTTATATATTTCGGTATTAGCATAGGAAAACTGTATATGAAGATCTATGGCAACTTTTATTTTGCGAAAAATTCTTCTTTTTTCCTTTAGTTCCATCTTGTGCTAGCCGCTGGATTTGATGCCAATTTTTTTGGAACTTCGATACTTCAATATCCATATTCTTCTCCAAGTTAAAGCGGGTCTCTGGTATATTCTGAGAAGAGATCCAGACAGAATGACCCGGAATGATTCTCAGGATATGCCCGAGGTTTTGAGAAGAGATTCGGACACAATTACTCGGAAAGTTATCACTGAATTCCACATAAGAGCCGACATAAAAGTCGACCCGCTCTGGATCTTTTCTCTGAATATACCAGAGATTCTGAGAAGAGATCCAAACCGATTTTTAATGCCACTAATTTTCAAGTAGTTGATAATGGTAATCATTACTTAGATGAATTACTGTTAATTACACTTTCTTGAATTTTGACTATGCTACTATGCTATGTATATGATTCGAGGTATATGTATAAACGAAATATTCTTATTACTAAATTAAATTTAGATTTCCAACGCCTCAACGAAATCAGTTAATTTTTAAACCAAAAAACTCGACACTTACTGGGTCTCAATTCCAATTTGATGTACTGCGGCATCAGCTGTACAATTTCACGATTTTTATGCGAGCTTTTACTTTTGCCGCCGCTCGTTAGTGGTCGCTTGAGTTCTTGGGTTATTTTCGTGACGGGATTCTCAATTAATGTACAAGTTGTAGACGCATTGCTTGGAAAACACCGATCATCCGCAAAGCTCGACTCCTTACACCATACACATTTGGCCGTTTGTATGCATTCACGGCAGGTATCTTTGTTTTTACACGGATTCATTTTATCCACATCAGTGGTGTTATTTGTCGCGACAACGCCTACCACAAGTATTACTAACAAAACTCCACCGTAGCTCCAATGGCTCGACATTTTGTTTTTATATTATCTTATGCACTCTTATATTATATTTCAGTCAAGTTTATAATTTATTATTATAGAAATGTATAGAAATTGATTTTGTAAATGTTATATAGCCATGGAAGGCTGCAATGCAACTGATTTTTGAAGAAAGTGTTTTTAGCAAATTTGCTTTTTAATCTCAATTGCCATTTTATAATGATTCATTTGCAGTTTCGCGGTGGTAATCATCATTTCAACCACTAATTTAAATTCTACTTAAAATACTCTCGATATACCAAGCATTTAATTGTATTTATATTTATACAAGCAGAAACCTCACGTAATTTTATACACAGTTAAGCCACACTAAAGCCGAACTGCTGATAAGCTTCATGGAATTCCAAAAGCAAATATTTGCGTTATAATTTCAAGACTCATAATTGAGCTAAGCGGCAATAATACTAAATATTTATCAAATCCAACAGAAACCTGATAAAATACAAAAATTTGTATTTACATTTGACTTGTACGATTTATTTAACTTTTCTCTCTCTCTCTTTCTCTTTCTCATAAAAATTTTAAACAAATACTTTGATGACAGTTAGTTAGCTCTTAGTTCATTATTTTGCTATGCTTTAATGCTGCATCTGAGGGCTGGTATATTAAACAAAGTTTTGAGAATCTTTCGAGAACTTCTTCTGCGTGACTTCAATGTCATGAGGCGTATGCAGCATATCGTAGTGTCGAAAAAGGGCGTTCAGAGCTCGCATTCGTCACTGGAATTGTGCAGAGTATGCAAAGAAATCTATAAATTATGGGGTATCAGCCTACACCACAGTTCTTCAGTGTTTCCAATGCAGTAGCCGGAAACTTGTTGTCTTTTGATTTTTGTTTCTGCCCGCAGTAGCACTGCCAGTGATTTAGTTCACCTTTGTGCTTCAAACGTCGCACGACGTTGTCATTATCCAAAAGGCCTTTGAATCTACTATCAAGCAGATTTTCCATTTCTTTGGTTTTCAAAGTACATACTTTTTCTGGAAACAGCAAACTCAGTTAAAATCCATCCTATACTTCTCTAGAAAAGCGCGTTTTCAAATCTTCGCCGATTTATTCAAAAGAAGAATGTACACTGAGATCCTATATAATTCGTCGCAAGTTCTTACTCAAAAATTTTCGCATTTCGTTTGCCGGCCGCAGTTTCTGGGTTCTTCTTCGTCAACTTTCAGTTCTACCGCCATTTTTTTTCATGTCTGAATAAATGGRTCGAAAATGTTTCTTAGCTTTTTGTCTTCGATTTCAGTTTTTTGTTTAAGTATCTTTAAAAATTATCTAAGAATTTGTCCCCAAAGTTATAGAAGGGAATTCGAAATATTGTCGCAGTTAGAAGGAAAATAGTTACCGAGCGTCTAGCAGATATATGAGCGATTGGGCAAAACTTTGACGCACAATTTCTCGGTTATTAAATTTTACGATTTTTCTTAATTGGCGGGCAGGATAGAAAAAACTAAACGTTTATGAAATTGAGACAAAATTTTTTATCTATGGCATTAAATTATCTTCTATTCAAACTAAAAAAAGAAAAGTCAAGTTTGAACATATTTTTAAACAACTTGAAGTAAAATTTTTTGGTCAAAAACCACTTTTCTTTAAATGTAAATAAAGAGAAGTTAACAATTATGAATATCCATGAACTTTTTACTCCCATAGAAATTGCGGCCTGCTCCTGTCCGCCGTCCGGCAAATGTACATGCGATGCGATATACATCGGACAATTGCTTCCCAAATAAATATTAATTCAATATACCATAAATTCTAGAAATTTCACTTTAATCAATTATTTATTTCCCTCCCAAAAAATCTTAAAAAAACGATTTTTTGAAGCCTCTAAAGCAGGCTCCTCTCCTTAAGTCGCGTGTTTTTTTTGGTTTCGGCTCATTTTTTCCCCTTCATTCCATATCTCAAAGGTATATATTCGAACAATATCTCCTGAAGTTGCGATACAAAAATGTTGAAAATTCCGCCGATGAGACCGCATTTCGCTGGGTGTCTCTCGAAAAAGTGCTCTCGCCGTGGACAGCATAACTTATTACTGGTTCATATAAAAATAAAAAAACTAAGCATATTCTAAATCTCGTTTTTGAAGGTGGAAAATAAAAAAATATTAAAATTGCCCTTCTTTTCTCGGGCTTTGAACAAAAAATCTAATTTTTGGTAAAATTTTCGGCATTTTTTGGTCAGAAAATAAGTTGTAAGGAAACAAGAAAAAATCCTTCGTTCAATAACTAAATAATATTATTTCAAAAACGTGTACACAATACGAACTAAATCGGTCAATAACTTTTCGAGAAATCGTCTCCACCGACTTCAAAAACACAGTTTCGAGAAAAACGCGTTTAAAGACCGGGCACTTAGCGCAGCTAGCCATGAGTGTTGCCATGTACCATGTGTTTATGTATTTAGTTTTTAGGAATCTTCACATTCGAGTTTAGGATTGTGCACAGTATACGGACCATCCCACTGCTTGCTCGATATGGGTAGCTAATAGTACTTTTCTCTATCCCTCTATTATTTAAAACCATACACTCCTGTCTTTACAACATTATTGTGGTTAACTACATGCATCGTGGTTTCTCTCAGCCTTTCTTGCTTTGTTTCCACGTTTTACCTTCGTTCTAGGTTTATCTCGCCTTTTAAATTTATCTATCAATAGCTGTGAAACTTTTCGATCAAGCATATATTCGTATATGAAATAAACTTACCAACTTTTCAAAACAACTTACTTTCGACTACTTCAAAGTCTGTTGAATTCTAGAAAACCAATTAGCGTCGTTCAGTTTCTCCCAATTATATTCCTTTCTTTTCCGCTCTTCGCATCTACCGCAGAATATCAGCTACTTATAAAAAAATATTTCATGCAGTAACCATCTGCCTATTTTAGACTGCACTTTTCTAGTGCTCCTCACGTTCCGCTTGAACTTGCCAGCTGTTTTTAACCAATAAATATTACCAAACGTCAATGAGTAGCTCAGAAAATTAGACGAAGCACATTGCTACCTACCTGGACGATTTGGGGAATTGGTTCGGTTTAAATAAAAAAAGATGGAATAATGAGAAGCAAAATAGTGATGCACATATTGCCTACAAGAGTTGTAAATGCTTGTAAGTCGAACTCTGGTTGTTTATTTCGTTGCAGAACACTTTTGAGATGAGTACTTCTTCAGGATCAAATCCAATCCTACTCGTTAAATATTCAGAAATTACCTTTAGATATGTGTTTGCAAAATGTTTCTTGTTATGTTTGGTGTATAAGATTTAGCAAGCCGAACATACTATTAAAATATACCCTGCGTAGGTGCATATTTCTTAATATATACATATGTATTATACTATGAACAAAATATAGCAAAACTTTGTTCTTAATTTAAAATTTTTTAATTTATTCTTCAAAATCTATGTGGTCCCCCTGAAAGTAATCCCACTTGGCTCCAATACAATTGTGCCAACGTTTTTTCAATCCTCGAAACAGTCAATATGCGTGGCGATTCTCCTTCAATGTTCACAAAGGACACAGAGCTAAATCAGGAATACGGTGGATGCGGCATTATATTGATTGAAAGTATTTCGAAAAACTCACGAAGAATTAATCGAGCATGCGACGGTGCTAAAATCAAAAGTTGTCCGCCCATAATTCTGAACTGTTTTTAGAAATAGGTTCGCGTAAACGACGCATAACATGCAAATAGTATTCCTTGTTGACAGTTCCACACCTCGATAATCGAATAAAACTGTCAACAAAACCTTGATTTCTGGCGTGCTTTTCGCCACCAGATATTTGATTGATTTGATGATGAAATTTCTTTGCTGCATAATTTCACTCATCGTAAAAATCGCCGAATGCACCTTATGTACTTCATAAAAACAAGCGCATAAGTGAATAGTTGAGTCACTTTAGTCTATCGAACCTATCTATCCGTTCGATTTTCTGAATATACGCCAACTAGTCCCTCAATTGTTGAGATATCGATCTGAAACTTCGCATATGTCCCTTTCTCTCCAGGAATCTGCTCATCTGTCGGCATAACCGGTATCGTACTTCTATAGCATATAGCTGCCAGAAGGACTGATCGATCAGAAGCAGTACAAAGATTTTTTTATATATCTTTATGCTATAAGAATGCACATGTGAAGAGTACTATAATCGCAGTGTATCTTAAGTTATAGTTTTTTTCTTGTTGGTAATCATTTGAAATTGTTTTAAGCTACTTTAAGTTTATTTATATATATAGGCGATGTAATGTCTTGACCAAGAACGAGTACACCAATAAATTTCTTTCTAAAATAGATTTGCAGCGCTTTGATTACTAACCACTCGCTGACGATGCGAAGATATTTGTATACTTCAGTTTGTGCTCACAATATACTGCATGTGAACAAGGTTGGTTCAAAAGATATCGCAAATTGTGTATTATTTAAAAAAAAAAAAAATTTTTTTGTATTCATAAATTTTTATCTTGTCCCTTTCAAAGAAATCGTTCCCAGATATTATATTTTGCACATCTTCCGGCGTTTGCTTTTCACCCTCAAAGCACTTAAACAAGTATTTTTTTTTTTTTTTGTGATTTTCCTTAGCTCTTTCTTCGATACAGTTTTTATCTCCTGAATCGTAGCGTAGCGTCGTTCTTCGTATTGAGAAAAAAGGGACGGGGGGGCCCAACTCTGGGGTATACGGTGACTGGCCCTGCAATCGAAGAAACCTGTTAGCAACACCTTCACAGTCGATCTAACTTGGCGCGCCTTTGTTCCGTCCTGGCTTATGCGGCAGTTTTCATTGGAATGATGGAGCTTTAGTTTCTACGTCATAACCATAAATCCATGATTCGTCACCAGTTATGAGCCACCGGAACGAATCTGAGTCCCACATCTCGTGTTTCTGGTCGAAAGTGAAAAATTGTGGCACAAACTTCGCGGCAACCCGACTTATCTCCAAATCGAATGGCACGAGCCTTCTCTAATGGTGATTCGATGATTGGCCAACACCATTTTCTTCATTTCATTAAGATTTTCGACTTCCCTGAGAACATTTTGTACGACCTAAGCAAAACAATTCCAAGTAAACAGCTGTCAATTGCCGATTTCCAAGCATTTAAAGCGTTATTGAAGGCA